TGGCCAGCTCAGCCCACCAGGGGGCGGGCAGGCTGGCATGTGGTCATGTGGTGCTGGGGGATTGAACCGTGGTCCCTGTGCTTTGCTTGGCTTAGCTTGTTCTAAGTAGGTGCTTTAGACCACTGAGCCATCTCACCAGCCCTTGGCAGTTATATTTTTGCCACAACACACACGGGCAGAGTCCTATGTATGGCACGCTGACTACATTCCTTTTGGTCCAAACCAGGGAGTGATGCAGCAGTGTCCCAGGGTAGCTCTGCTTGTGTTTTGAGGAGCCGCCATACAGACTTCCCTAATGGCGTTGCTCATTTATGCTTCTACCAGTGGGCAGAAGGGCTGCTTTCCCTGCCTCTTCACCAGCATTTACTTTACATCCCTCATGGAAGCCATTCTGACTGCAGATAGGTGGGATTTTGTTGTGTATTGGATTTGCACTTCCCTAATTGCTAAAGATACCAGACATTTTTCCATTTACATATTGGCTATTTGTACATTTGAGGAATATCTATTCAACTCTTTTGCCCATTTATTGACTGGGGTATTTGATTTTTTATTGATTTATTTTTTCCCCCTGTGTTTAGGATAGGGTATGCAGGACCTATAAGGGTCTCACTACACAGATTGGACTCGGAGTCATCCTCCTGTTCATCCTCCCAAGTGCTGGGATTATAGGCCTGTGTCACCCCACCCAGTTTCCATGCCATCTCAGCACACCCTGGGGGAGGGGCTGGTACCACATACCGGGGGTCAAACCCTGGTCACTTCTCTCTGCCTATGCAGGCGCTTTAGTCCACTGAGCTATCAGGCCGGAACTAACTATCTGATTTTTTTTTTTTTACAGAACCAGGGATTGAACTCAGGCCCTTGTGCTTGCCAGGGACGCGCTTATTCTACTCAGCCATCTCCCCCGCCCTCTAGTTATCTGATTTTTTTGGTAAGTTGTTTTTTTTTTTTTTTTTTTTTAGTCGTTTACGTGTTCTCAGTAGAGCAGCTGATGGGACTGGGGAAGTAGCTCAGTAGAATAAGTGTTTGCCTGGCAAGCACAAGGGCCTGAGATCCATCCCCAGCTCCACCAAAAAGAAAAAAAGGAAGAGCAGCTGACAAAGATATTCTCCAGGTTTTCTCTTGCTGTACAGAAGCTGTTTCCCTTGCTGTACAGAAGCTGTTTAATCGGGTGCAGACCCATCTGCTGACTCGTTTCCCATGCTATTTGGCATCCTATTCAGAAAGTTTTTCTGTCCACAGCTTCAGGTGTGTCTCCTGTTTTCTTCTAGCAAGTTTAAGGTTTTAGGCCTTAAACCCACATTTTAAAGCCATTTTGAGTAAATTTTTGTACAAGGTAAGAAAACTAGATAGGGATCTAGTTTCCACCTCCTCCAGGTGGATCTCCACGGTCCCTGCACCGTTTGTGGGGGAGGGTGTCCCTCTCCAATATTTGTTTTTGACCCTGTCTTAGTTACTTCTCACTCATTCCTGGAACAAAATAACCGGCACCCAAAATTAAGGAAAGAAAGGTTTATTGAACTCACAGTTTATGGAGGTTTCAGTTCACACTCCGCTGGCTCCAAGGCAAATGGCAGCAGTTCACAGCATCAGCAAACAACGAAGAGCAGAGGAGGTGCAACAGCTGCAGCATCCACCAAGTCTCTCTCTTACTTCTGCACTGACTGCAAAGCCCGAAGACCTGGTGCTTTGATGCTAAGATCAGAGCTTCTCCGAAGTGGCACAGCTTCGAAGTGGCGGGAGGAAGACCAGGACTTCTCCATGGAAGCGGGGAAAGGCAGCCAGCCGGGCCTTCCTCAACTCCTTTATACACACTTGTGCTGAATGGGCCCCAGGGCGGAACCAACCATGTCCTGGGGTGGAACGATCCACGCCCCAGGGCGGAACCAATCACGTGCCAGGGTGGAGCCAACCACGCCCCTGGGCAGGGCTCCCATGGCCCTGACTGCGTAGAGCCCGTCCAGCCAAGTTTCCAACATCAGGACACAATGTACCAACTACCACAGGTCCCTTTGTCCAGAATGAACTGGCTGTGATTGTGTGGGTTTGTTTCTGTGCTGGCTGGGTTTCACTGGTTTCTTGTATATTTCTGCCCAGTACCATGCTGTTTGTTAGTGTGGTTTTGTAGTATCCTTTGAGATTTGGGACTGTGATTCTTCAGCCTCCGCCCTTTTTGCCCAGGTTTGGTTTGTCTATTCTGGGCTTTTTGTTTGCTTTGTTTCTTTTCTGCCTGTCTTTTCTTTTTCTTTTTTTTTTTTTTTGGTCTCCATATGAACTTTAGGATTTATTTTCTGATTCTGTGAAGAATGTCATTGGTATTTTGACGATGATTGCATTGAATCTGTTAAGTTGCTTTTGGTAGTATGACCATTTTATTTATTTATTTTTGATGTATTTAGTGCAGGGTCTACCTGGTCACACAACACAGATTGGACTGGTACTGATTCTCCTGTTTTCAGCCTCCCAAGTATTGAGATTATAGGCGCAGCCACCATGCCCAGTCTCAAAATCATCTCAATGCGCCCCAGGGCTGGGCGGGTAGGGAGGGGCAGAGCCAGCACACTAGGGATTGGACCCCAGCAGCCGCACTCTGCCTAAGCAAGCGATTTAGTTCACTGAGGTATCTGCCCGGTTCTTGGGTTGGTTTTTTTTTTAAAGCTATTGTGAATAGAATTGTTTTCCTGATCCCGTTCTCAGCAAGTTCATTATTGCTGCATAGAAAAGCTATTAAATTTTTAATGCTGATTTTATATCCTGCTCCTTTACTGAATTTATTTATCATCTCTAAAAGTTTTTGTTGGAGACTTGTGGGTCACCAATATATAGGCTCATATCTCCTGCTGGGTATTTTGGCCAATGCCTGTAAGCCCTGGACCCTGAGGCAGGAGGACCACCATGAGATTGAGGCCAGTCTGAACTACACAGTGAGCTCAAGGCTAGCCTGAACAGAATAGCAAGATTCTGTCTCAAAACAAAAAACAGACCAAAAAGAAAATTCATCTTTTGGCAAGGATAATTTGACTTCTTCCTTTCATATTTATATCCCTTTTATAAAGGAATTAGAGCCATTTAGGATGCATATTATTTTTAATTTGTAGGTCAAACTAATCCATCTTGTCTCTTTAGCCATGTGTGTACATGTATTTTTTAACAAGCTTTCTCTAGTATATGGCTACAGAACTCCTTTCTTCATATAATTTTAGAGGATTTTTGAATGTCCGATCATTAACCTGGACTTGATTTTTTTATGGAGTAAGATAAGAATTGAGTCTTAGGTTATCAGTGTGGGCAAGTGGCTGTCCCAGCACTGTTGTTAAGAGTCTGCTCCCAGGTGGGCATGATGGTGTGTGGGTGGAGTGCAGGCCCAGCTGCTCTGGAGTCTGAGGCAGGAAGACTGCCTAAACATGAGAGCTGAAGGCCAGCCTGAGCAGTGCAGTGAAAACCCATCGTAAATATTGACAACAAACCCCAAGTGTCTGTCCCTTCCTAAGTGATGAGAGTCTTCAACTGTCCTCCCCTTATGCTCCCATGCTCAAGGGCATCTGCGGACTGTGCTCTTGGGGGTCTTCAGTCCCTTTCAGTACCATGTTTGCAATTATCACCTGTGGCTACACAACTCATAAGGGAAGGACTTCCTCTCATACACTTCTGTAGCTGTGTTGTGTGTGCACCCTTCTTTCATACAAATTTGAAAATCGACTGGTTTCAAGAAAATCTTGTTGTAGATTTTATTATAGCCATAAGCATTTGTTTGTTTACCAGTTATTTACTTTTTGAGTATGGCTCATGCATGCCTGGCTCAGAGAAGAACCATGAGAGCTATCAAATATGCAGTGTGACTTAAAACTATGAATGCTGAAAATCTTCAAATTTTGTTACAGCACTTGCCTGCCAAGCGCAAGGGCCTGAGTTCAATCCCTGGTTCTGAAAAAAAAAAAAAAAAATTACACTGAAAGATGCACTGCTCTTAACTCCTTGCTTCAAACACTGACCCCATCATCCTTGCCTCTTTCTTTCTTTCTTTCTTTCTTTCTTTCTTTCTTTCTTTCTTTCTTTCTTTCTTTCTTTCTTTCTTTCTTTCTTCTTTCTTTCTTTTCTTTTTGGTGGAACCAGGGGTTGAACTCAGGCCCTTGCACTTGCCAGGCAAACGCTTATTCTACTGAGCCATCTCCCTGCCCACCTTGCCACTTTCTGAAGCAGCTCTGGAAGTCCTCTTTCATACTTTTGGTTGTGCTGTCTCCATGTACTGAGTCAATTCAAAATATTGACCTTTGGTGGTCATTTTGACTTTGGGTAAGAGCCAGAAGTCTCGGGGTGCCAGGCCTGCTGATCAGGTGCACGGGGAGGCACTGTAGTTTGTATTTGACAGAAGTTTCTGAAAGTGGTCAGCAATGTTAATCACGAAATAAGGGAATTTATGCATTAAATTTTACAGGAAAAGACACCTTGCCTCAGATTATACTCAAAGTCCCCCCACTCTTGAACACATACATTGTAAACAGCGTGACCTCTT